ACGGACACTACAACGAGGCACGACACTCACTTTTGCTGCGAAGGGCACCAGAGCAGTAGCCACGAAGGCAGTCGTTTTCAAAAGTTCGACCTGCCTCTCGAGCGGTTCGCTCGCTCGAGAGCGGATCGCTCCTTCGGGCATGTCTAGCCCTTGCCGCCAAACAAACCAACACAACACCAAACAGCCACCCAAACAGCAAAACACCAACCAAGCCGAAGCAGCAGTGAGTGTCACATGGTACGCGAAAACATGCAGAAGGGGAACGGGCACGTCTTCGTTTTGGACCCAGTCGAAGTGTCTGATGTGCCGAGGCTAGCACTCACAACTCACTAAAGAAAATGGGGTGGAACACCCAGTAGGAGTGTTCCAGAGGGCTCTCTGTACTGATATTCCTTTAAAAGCACTTTGCTTTGCACCGGCCAAGTGGTCTCCGAGTTTGTGCACACGGGCTGTGTTCAGGATCTGGACCGCGTTCTCAACAGTGCCTGCAGAGGAGATCAGCTCCGGCCCGCTTGTTGAGCCTTTTTGACAGTGGAGTCGGATTGGCGCAAGTCGAGATACTCAGAGACTTTCTCGTACAAGGCTCCTCCCACCCTCTCTTCTTCAGTTTCCGGCACCGACCCGCCCCCCCCCCAGGGAGGGAGGGTGGGGAGCCGCAGGCAGTGGAACGGACAGCTGGTGAAGGGTGTCCTGCATGAAGGGCGGGGCGGACACACCTCCCAGGACCGACTTGCACCAATAGGACAGGACCGTCCCTTCGGGACCGGAAACGGCCCAGGTTGCAAATGGTTCCAGCCCTGCCCATAAGCGCCACCAAATTGGGTTGGCATTGGGGCAAACACGGGGGATAAACCTCAAGCGGAGACCCCGCAACCGGTGTGCTAACAGAGCAGGGCTGGGACAACCACAAGTAACGTGCCAGGAAAACCGCTTAGGGCGGTTCCCAAGCAATCAAGAAGAGCAGATCCGCCTGCTCCCTCAAGAGTGACCCTCCCCAACCAAAGAATCCAGCAGGCAGACGACAGGGTCGGACCGGGTTGGGATGTCGCCCAAGCAAGCCACGCTTGCTTGCCACCCTGCACATCCGGCAATGGTCGGACCGACACAGGACCCACCGCTCCTAGGGTTCGTACTACCTCCGAGTCCATCTCTGAAAGGGGCACGAACAAGGAAAAGCGTCGAGGAGGCGGCTGGGCGGTAGCAGCACACAAACCGAGCTCGACGGACGGGCGGGCCGGATCACCAGCATCATCCTCCTCAATCCCAGCTTTGCAAGGGGTCTGTGAGGCGTCGGCAACGATAGCATGGATGTGGCTTAGAGGGTATGATCTCGCCGGTGGCTTCCTGGGCCTCCAGGTAGCTGCCCCATCCCTCGACCTCTAGTTCACGAACCACACGCTCTCCTTGCGTGGCAATCTCGAGCAGCTGCTTGATCTGGTCGCGAGAACACCGTGCGGTACGCATGTGGCCACGGTGAATGACAACAGCCCCGTAGCTCTCCAGAGCCCCAGTTCCTCTAACACTCTAACAGTGTCAACCTCGACGACACCTTGGTGCGAGAGACGTAGCACGACTAGCAGTCGACCTTGCATGAAGCGTCGGGCGAACAGTTGCAGCGCACGAAAGTCCTTCTCGTGGTCGGGATAAATACAATCATGTGCATTATGCCGCACAAACGCCTCTGCCGTGCTAATATAGGGGCTTGCGTCACCAAGATGCTGGAAGGCGGCACTGCTGTCCTCCCAAAGCTCCCGTCTCAAATCTCTGGCTTTCTCCCACGCCGTGGACAATTCCTGCTCAAAGGCGAGGGCAACATGCGAGCACAGACATTGTCGAGTCTCCTCTGCCCTCTCTCTATTGAGCTGGAGCGCAACCCCTAAATCTTCCGGGAGAATCAGCTTGTCTTGGGCGTCAAGGGTGTTGAGGGGCGGAACGCCTTCCCACAAGGGGACGACCGAAAGTCATTTGGGCCTTGCCTACCCCTTCCTCCCATGAAAATGTTCCAAAACAAGCTTCTGGCTCAGGAAGAGACAGGCCAGCTTTTGCGCCCATTGAACTCAGAACTTCTTGGGCTTCTTCGGCGAGTTGGGGATGTCCATAGTCAATCGCCTGGGTGAGTATTTCTGAGAGTTGGATGGGTCTACCTTGCATTTCCGCCTTGACAAAATGAGATGCAACGTGGGAGTGGAGATGATCACTGCAGCCTGACAGAGGTTCAAGCTTCTTACTGGAAAGGAGCTTTTCATACACAGTTTTCGCTGCTGGGCCTCGTCCGTGCTTGCTTGAACCGAGGTGACTTCGGCGTCCTGACGAAACTGCTGATGCCAAGTGTAGTCGGGCCCCTCGGCCAGATTTCCCAGCTCCTGCTCAAGCTGAGTAACTGGTCCTTGATAGTCCTCGGGAACCGCCCATCCCGCCTTATCCTTCGCCTTGGCCTTGGGATGAGCCTTAGCTTTGCCTTGGGCGGTAGCGCCTGGTTCCACCTTAGAGGCCTGTTCTTCTTTGGCCTGGGCCCGAAGTTGAGCGACTCTCCCATCTACTTCCTGGGGGTTCACTTTCGGCCCGTTGCGCAATCCCCCACGGCGGAGCACCTGCGTAGCGACCGTGTAGTCCAACTTGGAAAGCTTCGGCAAAGGCTCATGCGCGTTGGGGCATGAACTCCGATGACATCCAATATGGCAAGCGGCGTCCCAACAGATGGGCTTCTTAGTCTTAGGGCACTGCGGAGCATGCTGTATAGACCTCTTAACCTCAGCCGGGCTCAAGCGCTTTCCTGCAGGGTAAGCTTTCGGGGCGTCCCCAGCCTTGTTGGGATGTGTCTTCCACTTCCCGAGACGGACCGTCTGATGGCAAGGGGTTTGGAGCCTCAGTGGGTCCAGCCGTCTTGCGATGGTCTGGCCGTCTCTCCTTGGTGACGTGGTCATGGAGCTGCTTATTAAGTAGCCGAGCCATAGCTTTGTTCTGGCGAGGTAGAACAACTCTCTGATAATAGCCGGCTGGATCGGCCAAATCCCACACACGAGGGAATTGAAAGTTGGCCTGACCCGTAGTGCTGGGAGAGAGCGCTATAAGCTTGAAGTCTTCTAGCCTTGGGTTCTCTGTCCCAAGCTTTGCACAAAGACGTCGTCGGCTCTCCCGAATCTCCTCACACCACACTGCAGTCATCTCTTCAAAGAGCTGCACACAATAGGTGAAAGGGAAGGCGTTCTCGTCTTCTTCATGCGCCTCTCGGAGAGCCTGCAAGAACTTAGTCCTCTCTTGGACATGTTCAAGCCCATACGCGCTCCCAAACACTTTGATGGAGTTCTCGGCGTATCGGAGCCAGGTGAGGAAAGTTGTGGGGGCCTTGCTGCGAGCTTCCAGCTTATGCTCGGTCGGTGGCGACCAGTTTTCGATCTGTTCAACCCTAGCAGTGGCGCAGTCAGCCGCCAACAGAGTAAAACTCTCGGTTCCGCCCCACCATAGACCAGCTATGGACAGAGCCACTCGATTCGTAATCAACACGGGCCATTTTATCAGGCCAAGCTCGTGCTTGGCATGAAGCCCAGCCCGCTTGATACTGTGGAAGAGTTCCTTCCCATAGACTCCTTTACAAAGTTCAATCGAGAGTTGACCATACCCCCGAGCCAAGAAGGCATCCAGTTTCTCGCCCTCCTTGATGGAGCTCACCTGCCCTTTGGTCCCTGTCTTGTCCTCCTGCGCCTTGCGAAGCCCGTCGATGGCATGGATGATTCGATCGGTGGCCAGGGTGGGATTGCCTGGACCGAGTTGTTCCCCAAAAGCAGCTCCTGCCTTACGCACGAGGCCTTGCCCAAGACCTAATGAGGGCTGCTGGATAGCAAGGGCCCCACCGCCAGCACTTACCAACCCTGGTTGTGCGTCGTGCCCGGCAGTAGGAAACAGGCGGGCCACCGGATCGGGCGGACCACCTCCTGGAGCAAGCAAAGGGTTCTCGGGCGGAACAGCCCGTGTCTGGACAAGACTGGTTTCCTGAGCGAGGCCTGGTGGCAAAGGTGGTGGGGGCGCCTGAATCCCGGTTAAGGGTGGCCGAACCTCGGGCCATGCTAATGGATCGCTGGTGGGGCCTGACGCTTCCTTTTCCTCATCCCGCGTGCTTTCCAAAGCCCCTAGCACACTCATCTGGACAATCTCAGGTCCGGTGTTATAGGCACTGGCAACCAAAGCAATCGCCTCGCCGATCGAGGCCCGTTGAGATCGAGCGTCCCGGAACGATTCGTGGAGTGCCCTGCGATCAACCTCCTGGGGTGGTCCACCCTCCTGGGTGGTACACCCTGGCACGGTCGTCGCCGAAACTGGTGGGGGTCTGGGGGGGTACCAAACCCGTCCCCCCCAGCCCCTATCGTCATGTGGGAGGAGAACCAGCCTTGGCTCTTTCACGAGTTGCCTAAGCTGTTCAGGTCGAAGGTGAGTGTCTTTGGCCCGGACCTCCTTCCCTTCCCATTCCTTCAGCCATTCCCATGAATGCGAGACGACCTGGTTGACCTGGATCGAGACACCTCTCTCCTCCAATTCCTTGGGATCAGAGTATAGGAACTCCTGCAACCAGGTCCTCGGATATCGCCCAGACGGATCCGTGAGGGGCGGTTCACCCAGGCAGTGCCATGGCAAACTCACCCGCAAACCCAAAGCAGGAATCTTAACAGCAGCTCTTTCGGTGCGGCGACTGTCTTCGGCGATGCCCTCAACCTCACCTAGAAAAAGGAACCAGTGGGTTTTGACCCCCGCTCCGAAAAAGGGGTGGAGCCTTACCAGGACGGGCGCTCCCGATTTCGGGTGCGCTGACCTCTCTGCGCGAGAAGGCTTCTCATACTCGGACGAGCTATGCCTCTGGCGTTCGGTAACCGGGGAACTTGGTTCCTCGAACCGAACAGCTCGACTGGGTCCATGTTCGAGACGAGTATCAGCAGACTGACTTCTTCTAATCGAGTGGAGGAGGGACACCTCAGGCTTCCGTTTCGCCGTGCCATGTGTGGGTGCAGGGCTGTTAGATCGCCCGGTTTCAGCAAGATGCTTGCTGCACAGGGGCGTCCCCTTGTGGGCCCCATGCACTTTGTTGAAACATGAAACCACACTGCACTTACGCCCCTGACAGGAGAGCATATAGAGCTGGCTGTGGTGATTACAGAGCCTGGCGCACTCTCGAGCTCGAAGGTCAGACAACTGAAGGTCATCCACCAGGAGGCGGGTGGGTTCTGCCGCGGCTCTGTCCTCACAACCCTCGGGGGCAAGTGCTCTGGGCTTGCCTTGAAGCTCAAGTCCGATTAAAACTGCCTCGCAGGGATCCGAGATCTGTTCTGCTTCAGACTCCGAATCAGGGTCTAAAGGGCGGATCACCCCAGGATCTTGAATGTGGCGCGGTACCTCAGTAGGTCTTCTGCAAGAGCAGCAACGGAGACAGCTGGCAAGAACTTTACGTAGAGACCTGAGACCACGCCAGAGAAGAACCAAGGCCCGCCAGCTATCTAGTCGTCCGTAAGCTCCCAAGTCGATCACTGAGTCAGCATCGATGGCAGCAAACTCCTTGCAGTGGTACTCCCCGGGTTGAGTGCATCCTTCGGTTCGGCAAAGGTGAATTTGGTCTGCACGCTCAAGGTGATCACGAAGGGCACGGGCGGTGACACCCAAGATACGTCCGGGTTTCACCCATAGCCCATGCCGATCAATCCTGGTGCGGTGAGTCCAATCCGGTTGCATCCGAACAGCTCCTTGAGGGAAGCGGAGCACCAGGTCATGAGGTCGGCGCCCGGTTCCTCTTCCCCGCACTTGTCGCTGAAAGTACTCGGTGTCCACTGGGGTGGAGCTCCCGGGCCCAACCAGAGTCACAGTGGCATATGCAGCTGGGGCCGGAGTAACCGGCAAATGGCGGAGTGCGGGATCAACCGCTTGTAGCCCATCCCGAAGGCCTCTTCTTCCGCAGCCACAGCCGCAACACACCCACTTCTCGCAAGCCTTCAACGACCAAACCAGGGCAGCGAGGAGCCCGATCACAAGAGTGGCAAGGGCGGTCCACCCAGCCACTGGCCAGTAGCGACCAAAAGAGATCACCCCCACCTTGTCAAGAAGGTAGAAGGCCCACCCACCGTCGGTTCCCAAGGATCCTTGATGGTCCGGGGTGGAAAACACCATTAGGTTGGTCCAACCGAGGAGCACCCTGAAATTCCACTCGCCCCACCAGACTGAGGTAGTACTGGTAGAAGAGGTTCCCAGGGGTGGATCACATGATGGCGGAGGGGACGGCGGATCAGCCGATTGAGGTAGCCCAGTCTGATTC